AAAGGACTTGTATCGCTGAAGTTCCTCGGAAAGAATTTATACCGGAAATTAACAAACGAGCAGATATGTAACAATATAAATCAAACAGACATTGATATTAAAATAGACAGATAATAGTAAATTCGTCACAAGCAATTGTAGCAAAGTGTGCAATAAACTGATTGTACCAGGCACTCATACCCAAGAATGTGCTTAAATCTTTGCAGTTTCTTGGACTTCGGAAGTCTGTAACAGCTTTCACTTTGTCATCATTTGAGTGCATTCCCTCAGAAGATAGTTTAAATCGTAAATATGATACTTCTGATTGAGAAAATGTCATTTTACAAACTTTTACAGTAAGATTAGCTGTACCTAGCTTGTAGAAAACCAATTCAAGGCCTCTTAACTGTTGTTCAAATGTGGATGAAAACACTATAATATCGTCAATATAAGCCTCGGAGCATTCAATTGCTCCTGCTAAAGCCTCATCCATAAGTCTTTAGAAGGTGTAGGTGCATTTTGAAAATAAAAAAGCATCACTTTAAGTTGATAAAGTCCATTGTCAGGTATGAAGGCAGTTTTAACTTTAAGTCTATCCTCCATCTTAACAGGTATTTGCCAATATCCAATGGATAATTGTAACGTACCAATACAGGTTGCCTCCCTGACAGAGTATTCAAAATATCACTTATACGAGGCAGTGAATAAAGGTCAGATTCTTGGACTTGATTTAACTTCCTGTAGTCCACACATAACCTAAAATTATTAGTATTCTTCTTGACAATACACATCACGAAACATTTCATCCACTTGATCATGTAGTAAATTAGTGGGAGAATAACGATAATGTTTACTAAACACTAGATTTTCTTTAGTAGTTACAATACTATGTTCAGACAAATCTGTGAGGCCAGGTTTATTGTTAGTGATATTGGCATTATTACAGAAGTTGCTAACTCTTTAAATGTAAGCATTGTATTTGTCCAATCAGTATCTTTTCGGTCTCAGAGTCATACCTAACAAATGGCATATTTAATTCAAGAACATTTGTGAAGAAGTTAAAGGTTGCTTCGTTTTGCTGAATGAAGTCTAATCCAATAATACAAGATACTGTCAAATATGTTACGACAGCAGAAGTCACGCAACGCTGGAGTATCTCGAATGATGATGAATTTTACCGGCGGCTCGAGTGTGATCTAGATGCCCCCCTTTTTTAAAATATAAGCCTCGCAATAAAAGACAGCTGATAACTCGATTCTGTTTCTGTGTTTTGCAGTCG